CAGACATGCGCCCGGCCCTCCGCCGTCGCTTTTTTCTCGCTGGGCCCCGGCGGCTCGCCTGGGGCCAGCATCTGGCGCCAGGATCGGCCCGGGCGTTGCGCCCGTCCGATCCAGCCTCGGTCAGCTCCCACGACGCGCCTGCGGAGTCACACTGTGCATGGCTTGGTGCGCGAGTCGAGGACTGGGCTAGTTTCTCGGCTTGGGAGGCCCAGGACCTTGTGTATTCTCTCCCCGCCGACCGTGGACAGCGGCCCTCGGCGGTGCTGCGCGCCCTCCGCCTGCCCTCGCGCCCTTCAATTGGTTTGCCAGCCGCCCTCCGCTGCGCGCCCTCCGCCTGCCCCCGCGCCCCTCAATTGGTTTGCCAGCCGCCTCCCCCCTGTCCTGCTGGGCCGCCGCGTCGCGCGGCCCCCTGCCCCCCGCCCCCTGCCCGGGGTTGTTCCGCGGTGGCCCTGCCGGAGCCCCGCCCTCGCGACGGCCAGCCCCGCCGCGCGGCGTGCACCGCGCGCGCGGTCCCGCTTCCCTCCCAGGCCCCGCCTGGCCAGCGTTGCCATGCAGGCCCTCTCCCCCACCTCTCGCCCCCCCGTTTTGCCCCACCTGGGGCCCCATCTCCTCTGGCCCCCCCCCCCCCCCCATTTTCTCCCCTGGGCCCCCTCTGTCCCCCCTGACGTACCTCGTGCCCCTTCTGCGCGGCTGGCCCTTCCCTGCCCTGTCTGACTGGGTCCGTTGCCGCGGCCGCGGCGCCGCTGCGGCGGCCGCCTCGGCCCCCCCCCGCTCTCTGCTGCTGGGCGCCTCTGGCCTGCTTCGTTCTCCCCGACGGGCCCTCCCCTCCCCTCGGGGGGCCTGCCCGGGTCGCCCCCTTACGGATCGTTTTCTCGGCCGCCGCCGTTTCCGGCGCGTTACCTTGCCTCGCCGGCTCTCGCGACTTTTCGGTTTGCGCGGCCCCTTTGGGGTCCGTCGCCGCTCTGCTACCAGGTCGTTCCTTGGCCTCCATGTCATTCCACGCTGCTCTCTCGTGTCCCGCGCCTTCCGGTCCCGGCTGGCTTATGTCACCTGCCACCTCGCCGTATAGTCTCGTCTACCCATCGGCCCCCCACCATCCATGCCCGGATGGTCATAGCTGCTGGCAGCGGCGTGGTCTTGATTAAGCGGTCGGTGAGTGTTCGGGCGGGCCAGACGCACGCGCATGATCTGCTTCACCCTGCCAACGCGAACAAGGCCGCGACGTCCAAAAGTGTGTGTGTGTGTGTGTTGTTGATTGCGTGAGCGCGTGAATGTGTGAATGTGCACATGTGTGTGTGTGTCTGAGAGGAAGAGAGCGTTTGTGTGTGTGCGTGTGTGTGTGTGTGTGTGTTTGTATGGGTGCGTGCGTGCGTGCGTGCGCGCGTGCGTGCCATTCGCGGCGCTATCGTGGCCGCCTGCGTCCTGTTTCCGCCTCCCGTCGCGCCTCGTAAGCCTTGTGGTTTCGGCGCCTTGACTGTTCTCTGGGGCCTTCTGCCATACAGGTCCTCAGTGGTGTGGTTTCCGCCTCGCATGTGTTACTCCCCCCATCCCGCCGCCTGGTCTGCCAGGCCGCCATCCCCCCCCAGCTGCTGCTCTGCGCTGCCGCTGGTTCCCCCCTAGGGCGCTCCCCCCCGCCGCAGCCAGGGACTTGCCTGAGGGGACCCAGTTTTCTCTCCTCCCGTCGCGCCGGGTTTTCCTCCTCTTCCTCCCTCGCGCATTGCAGCATCAATTCGCATACAATGCGCCCCCTGTTGCCAATCCGCCGGGGCAGTCACCCTCTGCCCAGCCGCGGATGCAAAAAAAATGTGTGTTGCATTGTGTGTGTATGTGTGTTGTGTGATGTGTGTTGTGTGCTGTGTGAGTTGTCTGTTGTGTGTGCTGTGTGTTGTGTGTTGTGTGTGTTCTGGGCGTGTGTGTGTTGTGTGTTGTGTGTGTTGTGTGTTGTGTATGTTGTGTATTGTGCGTTATGTGTTGTGCGTTGTGTGTTGTGGGCTGTGTGTGCATGTGTAGTCTAGCTGTGTGCTTGTGTGGGTGCGTGCTTGCGTGCGTGCGTATGTGCGTGCGTGTGTGTTGTGTGTTGTGTGTTGTGTGCGTTGTTTGTATGTGTTTTGTGTGATGCGCGTGTGCTATGTATTGTGGGTTATGTGTGTTGTGTGTTGCGTTGTGTGTTGTGTGTGTTGCGTGCGTTGTGTGTTGTTTGTTGTGTGTTGTGTGTGTGACGTGTCTCTGTGTTGTGTGTTGTGTGTGTGATGTGTCTGAGTGTGCTGTGTGTGGTGTGTGCGTGTGTGCGTGTGTCGTGTGTGTTCTGTATGTGTGTCGTGTGTGCTGGATTGTGTTATGTGTGTTGTGTGTGATGTGTGTCTGTTGTGTGTGGTGTGTGTGTGTGTGCTGTGTGGTGTGTGTTGTGTGTTGTATATATGCGATGTGGGTGTGTTGTGTGGTTGTTGTGTGTATTGTGTGTTGTGTGTGTGGTGTGTGTGGTGTGTGTTGTGTGTGCCTATGTGTGTTGTGTGTTGTGTGTGTTGTGTGTTGTGTGTGTTGTGTGTGTGTTGTGTGTTGTGTGTGTGTGTGTGTGGGGGGGGGGGGTGTGCGTGTGGGTGCGTGTGCGGGCGAGTGCGCGCTTGCGTGTGCATGTGCGAGAGCGTGTGTGCGAGTGTGCGTGCCTGCGTGCGTGCGTGTGTGCGTGTGCGTCTGTGTGTTGGCTTGTGTACTCCATGCGCGTGTGCACGTGTGCGTATGCGCGCGCGTGTGTGGATGTGTGTACGTGTGCGTGTGTGTGCGTGCGCGTGTGTGCGTGTGCGTGCGTGAGCGTGTGTGTGTGTGTGTGTGCGTGTGTGAGTGCGTGTGTGTGTGTGGGGGGGGGGTGCGTGTGTGTGTGTGTGCGTGTGTGTATGTGTGCGCGTGTGTGTGCGCGTGTGTGTGAGCGTGCGTGTGAACGTGTGTGCGTGTGTGCACGTGTGTTTGCGTTTGTGTGCTTGTGTGCGTCTGTGTGTGGCTGAGTGCCTGAATGTATATATGTGCGTGTGTGTTGCAACGCCGTGTGCGGGATCCCGTGACGCAAGCGTGTGGGGTTCGTTACGCGTTGCGAGCTTTCGGTCTTGAGCTGCAATATTTAGGGCCTACGGGGCAGAGAGGCGTACAAAGTCATAGGCGAAGCCATACATAAGAAGCGCCCCCGGGAGGCCAGGCACCCGTGGACCTCCCCTGGCAACCAGGGCCAGCGGGGCAGAGAGCCACAGGCCACAGGAGACCAAGCCGTGAAAGACAACAGGAGGCCCACGAGCACACGGTGGGAAGCCATCTGGAAACCCATGGGAAGCCATGGGAGGCCAATCCATGGAGGCTAAAAGA